CCCTGGTGGGGATGCTGCACTTGGACCCCTGCTCTGAAGGCACAGCCATGAAGACCCAAGAAGTCCCCAGCCCCACACAGCAAGTCTCCTCCCTGCTTTCAGAGGCTAAGATCAGGCCAGACCCACTCCCCTTCTCCATCACCCCCCAAGCAGGGAACTGGGATGCCCCAAGGGTGCTGCAAAGAGCCTCTGTGGAGGCTGGGGCCTTGGAGAAGGTCATGCAAAACGCAGCCAGTGTGGGGTGTCCCAAGGGCATTGTGGGTGTGCCCACCAGCCACCCTTTCCAAGGCACCCCATTTCCCTAATCCCCATCCCACCCTGCCCTGCAGCGCTGCAGCTCAGCAGCAGCTCGGAAGCGGGCTGGCAGGGAGTGCCACGCCAGAGGGGGCCCTCCCTGGGGGGGCCCAGCAGGGTGAGCAGCTGTATGACAGACATGGAGCCAAGCGGGACGTCCCGGTCCCCGGCGTGGGGGTCCCTGCTGTGTCCAGAGGGGTCCACCTTACAGCCAGTGGCGCGGGTCCTCTCTCCTCCTGCTGCTGGTGGTGAGGCCCCTGGGACACTGGGAGCCACTGGGAGCCAGGGTCCCCTTATCTCCCACATGACACCTGGAGCTGGGCCAGAACCCTGCTAGGAAGGCAGCTGGGAGAGTCACCAGAGAGTGCCTGCCAAGCCAAACTGTCTGGCCCTTCCCAGCCCCGCTGCTGCCAGGACTCGGGCTGCATCACGGCTGTGCACCCCAGGTCCCAGCCCCAGTCCCGGCCCTGGTCCCAGCTCTCAGGGAAGCTGCTAGGACAGGGCAAGGAGACTGCAAGGGACAGGCATAGGGGCTCACAAGGCCCTGGGGACCCTGGGATCCGTTCCGCACAGGGACCCCAAGGAGACCCCAGCAGGTGAGGAGCTGCAGCAGAACTCCCCAGCAGGAGCGCAGCTAGGACCTGCGGGTGCTGGCAACCGGCCCAGGGCCTGGGCCAGCCCACTAGCAGCTGCCAGCCCCAGCCGGTGGGGCCCCCCGAGGAGCCACAGGGCACCAAGTGGTCACCAGCTCGGAGTGGGGACTGGAGCTGAGGTGCGAAGCAGGACTCCCACCCAACTCCACTCTGGCTGCCCTCTCCCAGATACAGGGCTGATCCCAGCAGGTAGTGGGGTGCTGGCAGGAGCCCACTGCAGGCAGGGAGATGCTGGAAAAGGCTCCAAGCCCAATGCCCCACTTGCGTCCACCATCTCCACAGGATGCAGAGTGGTGTCTCCTGGGGCATGAATCTTCTGGCACGCACCACGATCCCAACCCCACGGCCAGGTTTGTTCTAGAAAGTCACCCTCTGGAGAAAAGTCAGGTTTGTCTTTATCTCCCAAACCTTCTCACGGTCACAGTGCCCCGTCACCGACCACAGCCCTTGAGATACGGACCTGCCTGACCCCAGTGCCTGCCAGAAACCCTCCCCAAGACCCACAGCACTCGCAGCAGGCAGCACGTGGAGTGTTGTCGTCTCAACAGCCAAGCAGGGAGGTGCTACGGAAAAATAAGAGCAGGTTTTAGGGATCCTTTAGCTGGGTGGTCCACGTGGCTAGCAGAGCGCGATGCTCAGTGGGAACAAAAGCAAAGTGCTTCATCAAACAGCAGCCACAGGATGCCACGAGCATGAGTGGGCTTAAAAACATCCGCCAAGTAGGGGGGCTACAAAGTACGATGTTATCCCCTCTATACTGCAGCATCTTCGCAGGGTATGAGAGGCCAAAAGCAACCTGGGGTTGGGGAGCTGGTCCCCAGGGATTCATCCTGGTGTGGTGCGTGCCATGGGGCTGGTGATGCTCATTTTGCAGTGGATGCTCATCCCCATGAGCTCCATCCTTCTTTCCGCAGGTCATCCCTGGGCAGGGACAAGAGAGGCGCAGGGGTAGCTGGTGGGGGGGCCACCAGCTCCCCCCACACCTCCCTTCTCCCAGCCAAAAGCGGGATGAAGGGGCACGTTCGGCACAACAAATCCCCCCGGAAATTCTTCCCAGTCCCTGACACACAGAAAAACTTATTAAAAAACGAGAAACAACCTCAAAAAGAGGCTTTTTTTTTCCCGAGCCGGGGCGGTGCCACCCTTAAGTGACCGTGATCGCATCCCTCAGGTCGCAT